TTTCTCCACCAATTGCCAAAAAAAAATTTTTTTTGGCTCTTTATTCTCCAGTTCAGACTTTCTTCTACACTTAAATAATGCCTGGCTGAGGATAGGGAGTTGGGTGTTCAACAGGAGCAATAAGAGCAGGTTCTCCAATGGAAAGCAATTCAAATATCCCTAATGTGGAAATAGCTGCATCATCAACATCATTGCCATCATCTATTCAGTTAATATCTACTGAATATGTGTGTTAAACTCATTGAATACTGTTGATGACTTCATTTTATAGATAAGGAAGTTGGGGCACAATCAACCTTTCAATAATTAGTTCAGGAAGAGAGCAAAACAATGTGAATATTGATATGAAGCAGGTGTTTCTATTTCCAAAACAATTGCAAGACTCACACAAGGCATACTTTTACATTCGGAGTTGTGAATTCTGCTGGCCCTGGAAGACTATGAGTTCCTTTCTCAACAGAGAGCATTTGGTCTTCCCAAGCCCTTGATGAAGGTGATAGCCTAGACCCAGGCCAATTCCTAAAATCCGCTGGGTGGGGTTATGAAATAATAGTCTGTAGGGCCATGTCTTGGTTTAAAACTACCTTTGCAGAATGTGCAACCAAAAGAGTGTCATAAGGTGACTTATTACCATCCTAAGTGAATACTGCATGTAGGACCTTAGGGCAGAATCAGACTCTAATACTAGTTCCCAGCCAAGGTACACACCAGCTAGTGGCTCTCACATTACTGTGCTTCAATTCAACCAGGAAGCTTGTTACCAGTGCTAATTCCTGGGACTACCCCTATAGAATCTGATTCTGAAGATCATGGGTGGGGTTCTGGGATGGCATCTTTGTTTTTTGTTTGTTTGTTTTTGTTTTGAGACAGAGTCACTCTGTCACCCAGTCTGGAGTGTGGTGGCACAATCTCAGCTCACTGCAAACTCTGCCGCCCGTGTTCAAGTGATTCTCTTGCCTCAGCCTCTTAAGTAGCTGGGACTACAGCGCATGCCAACACACTCAGCTAATTTTTTTGGTGGAGACTGGGTTTCACCACACTGGCCAAGCTGGTCTTGAGTTCCTCACAGTAATGAGTAGGGAACTATGTTTGTGTTTATGGGAAGCCATTTTCAACCAGTGACAGAGTTCAAAGTGATGGCCTCGGGTCAAGCATAATATCTCTTGATTAATCATGTTTTCTTAAAAGTTAAGGTTTTTTCCTTTTCTACTCACTGAGCATTATTTCTGTCTATATAACTTTCTGCTGTTAAAAACTATAAGCCCCCTCACAATGATATTATTTTGAAATTAAAAGTCAAAACAAAACATGGAGGCCAGGGTCACATTGCCTTCTTGTCTTGAGACTTTGTTTAATGTGGGGCTTTGGACTGTGGGGCGTAAAGATCTTTCTTGGGAGCAGCTTTGTGCCTCTGGGCTCAGGAGAGAGGACCTCCCCACATGACTTCGGAGTTTCAGATGCAGATACCTGCACCATTTCCACAGCCCCGTGCCTCCTCTGAAATTTCAAATTTGTGGTATATTATGTAATGGAATCATGAGTAAAAATAACATTCTGCCTTTTGGACTGTAGGAAAGGAGTACTTGAGAAATCCAAAATCTGAGGATTTCTACCCAAACGATGATTCAGTAACAAAGGCTAATTTAACTGTGGACTTGGTATATACCAGGGGCCAGGCAGAGTTTCAGATCTCTGTTGTCTCATTTAATCCTCACAACAATCCCACGAGGGAGGTAGTACTATCATTTCCATTTTAACAGTGAAGAAGAGGTTAAGAAACTTGTCCAGTTAGCAAGAGGCACAGTCAGAAATTGAACACAGGTTTTCTGAGGCCAAGCCCATATGCTGACCCCTAAGCTATACTGTCTGTATAGTACATGTGTTTGTTTTATTTTACACACACACACACGCTACCAATATACGTTTGTATATATCAATATAGATATACAATGTCATATTGCATATATTTATATAATACACATGCATATAACCAATATACGAGTGTGCACTGGTAAGTGTCACTATGGTAAAGTGTCATGCACTAGTAAGGTCCTGGTCTAAAGAGAACCCACACCCTGAAAGGAAACCCTGTCTTACCCCACCCAGGTCCCAAATAAACTTAGGGTAAAACTACAGTGAGCGGGAGCCACTGTTCTTGAAAATTCTACCACCTCATTTCACAGCATGCTTACGCCCTCGCTTACACAGAGCCTGCTGTCCTTCATGGCTGCCCCCAAGTTGGCGGGGCTGCTTTGTCATTCCAGACTGCATCACCTGAGGATCCTGGAGGAACTTCTCTTGCACAGCTTTCCCATTTGCATAACTTAGGAAGCAAGGAGATAGCTTGTGTTGGTGCTTCAGTGAAACCTTTTCTTTTTAGACATAAAGGGGAGATGAAATAAGAATTGCCCTAAGAAATCTGACCAGAGCCAGCCTAGGGAACCTGACTTTTCTGTGGCTTACAGGGTCAAAGGATACATCCCCACCTCTCACCCTGTACCTTCAGCTAACCAAAGTGAGGCAGGTGTAATGAGCTCCCACTAAAAGGGATCAACAGCCACATGCTGCTGTGGCGGGCAGGGTAGGCAGAGGTTGCTGAACTACTGTTTAAATGGGAGTGAAGGTGACATTGAGTTCCACTGTGATCCAGTCCAACTCCATCTACAGAACACTTATACAACTGGTCAGATGCCATGGAAAGCAAAGACAAGACACCAAGGAAAAAGGAAGAAATGGTCTAAATCAGAGGTTCTTGCACCTAGCTCATCTCAGAATATCCTCAGGAGCTCGTTAAAAGTAAAGGTTCCTGATCCCCACTTCCTCCCTTCCCTGATCTACCTGCAATTCAGAAGTATCAGAATCTCTAGAGTTGAAGTCAGAGAATACGCATTTAAGCGACCGCTTCTGTGGTTTTCAAATACCACTGTCCCAGTTAAGTCAGTTTTGGTAATATGGTCTTAAAGGCTAGACTGGAGTATGAAATTATCCAAAGTTGTCCAGAGAGGTCTGAATATTTTGTGAGCTTCCAGCTTAGTCTATCCTCTAGCGATCTTAGACTCATTTTAAAAATCTTGGTTTATTTGAAGAGATACAGATCATACCTTTGTGGCATTGATTTCTGTTTTTGTTTTTCCTTAATGTGAAGTAGATCCAGTAACAACAAACTCTATCCTATGAAAAAATCCTGTGGAACAAAAAAGATGACCTAACCCTCCATCAGTGTGTTTCTTAGACGGAGGTCCTTAGTGTTCTGCTTGGAACTGCCTCGGGACTTGTTAACAACAGATCACGGAGGGCAGCGCGATGACATCGATAACATTCCTACACAGTTTTTAAAACTTTCTGGTGAACAATGAATACTAGATAGATAGACAGATAAATAGGTATCACAATTCACCATTTTAACCATTTTAAAGTGTATAATTCAGTGCTGCTTAGTAGATTCACAATATTGTACAACCATCACCTCTATCTAATTCCACAACATTTTCATCGCTCCCAAAGAAAACCCATTAAGCAGATGCTCCACCTCCTACCCCCATCCCCTGGCAACCACTAACCTGCCTTTTGTCTCTACGGATTTGCTTATTCTGAACATGTTCTATAAATTGAATCATACCACATGTGGCTTTTTGAATCTGGCTGAGCAATTCCATGCCTTGGAATATACCCAAAAGAATTGGAAACAAGTATTCAAACCAAACTTGTCCATGAATGCTCATAGTAGCAGTATTCACAATAGCCAAAAGGTAGAAAAATTCCAATGTTCATCAACTGATAAATGGAAATACAAAATGTGGTATATTTACACAACGGAATATTATTTAATCATAAAAAGTATGAAGTCCTGATTTATACTACAACACAAAGGAAGCTCAAAAAAGAGTATCCCAAATGAAAGAAATGCTGTGATTCCACTTCTAGGAACTATCCCATATAGTTTAACATTTGGCTTCATAAGCCAAGATGCTTCTCCAATGTAGCAGTTTTCCGAACCAATCAATAATGTTGAACTGTGTTCCTGGCTCTATCACAATAAAAAAACAAATCTTCTACAATATAGTTGTATGGGGCAATGGTGGGGTGTGGGGGTGGGGGTGGGAGTGGAGGCAGTTAGAGAGTGTATTCAAAGTACAGTTCTATTGAGGTTATATTCAGGTGAATAACATATAAACAAAATGTAAAATAACTTCTTGTGAGCCCAAGTTGGGTAATACTAGATAAGACCATCGGTAGGAAGGAAAAGTCTTACTGCAAATCACTATAATTCTGCATCATTTTTTTTTCTTTTCTTTTCTTTTTTTTTTTTTTTTTTTTTTGAGACAGGGTCTCGCTCTGTTGCCCAGACTGCAGTACAGTGGCGTGATCTTGGCTCACTGCAAGCTCCGCCTCCCGGGTTCACGCCATTCTCCTGCCTCAGCCTCCTGAGTAGCTGGGACTACAGGCACCCGCCACCGCACCCGGCTAATTTTTTTGTATTTTTAGTAGAGACGGGGTTTCACCATGGTCTCGATCTCCTGACCTCTTTATCCGCCCGCCTCCGCCTCCCAAAGTGCTGGGATTACAGGCGTGAGCCACCGCGCCCGGCTCATTTTTTTTTTCTTAACCAAGAGATCATATTTTTATTTTGGACTACACCATCACGGCCAGCGAGACACTTGTTAATTATTTTTGTTTTGTATATATTTGGGAGTTAATCATATCTAATTTGGTTTCATACCAAGAGACAAGTGAGAACTCAGTTTCACCTTCCTCCACAGCATCTAACTGTGATTAGCCTTAAACTGACAGGGAATTGGCAGTTTTTCCGTTTCCTTCTCCTCAAGATGCTAATAAGCCTTGACAGTAGTGAGATCAATGCCTCCACAAATCTCAGGTTTTTCTTGTTCTGTATAAAGCTCGTTCTGAAGCCATCTCAGTGGCTGCACATTAGTACATGGATTCCAGAGGAGAGGGAACACAGCAGGTTTCCTGGAGGCTGAAAGGAGCGTATGGCTTACCGCTTCCATCAGGCCCTTCACTGTGGGAGACTTCAACATCAACGCATCGAACACATCGTCAGTCTCCTTCCTCACGTACAAGAGCACTGGAAGAGAAGGGCAAGAGAGCCACGTGACCGAGGGGCTGCACAATTTCACAGCTACTCCAGGGAACTGTTTCCTATCACACAGGCGTTGGAGTCTGGCACCTCCTGCGAAGCCTCAGACCCCTGGTCCAGATAACATTCAACAAGGGTGACTGAGACATCTCCATAAACAACCTGTGGCTAGGGACTGTTAAGGAGTGATTCGATGAGATAAACCGACAACCTGGCCATAAGATGCTTTGACACAAATGTTCCCATTGGAATTTCTCCAGAGGGGTACATGACATCTCTTTCTGCAACCTCTTTCCTCTGTGTTATTTGTTCCTTTGACAAATATTACTGAATGCCCACCTGGGCCCATAGATTGTGTGTGCTAGGAGTTGGGGTTGTAGCAGTGTTAGTTAAATCATAGCTCCTGTCCTTAAGGAGATTGCAGTCCATTGAGAGAAGCAGGTGTTCCTCAAATACGCAGACAACTAGACACAGGGTTATGGAGGAAAACGACAGGAAACAGTCCTTATAGGGGCCTGGCCATGACCTGGAAGGGTTGGGGGAAGCTCCTTTAAGGTTCCCTTGAAGGAGAGATCCAGCCTGTGAATTGCGTGTGCATCAATGCAGGCAAGTGACTAGGTGGGGGCAGTGGGGAGAAAGGGAGAAGAGGGAGAGCAAACTCCAGGCAGATAACCAGCATGTGCACAGGCCTGGGAGGGAGACAGGACACTGTCCGAGCAAGGGGAGGAAGAGGAATAGGATGTGGAGTCCCACGAGGCTGGGTTTGACCCCAGAGTGCAACCCCTGCTGTGGGCCCTGGTCATTTAAACTCTCCAAGCCTTGGTCTTCTCTGTGAAACAGGGATAATAATATCTGCCTCGCAGGGCTACTGTGAGGGTTAAATGAAATAAAAGCCATGTGGCACGCTTAGCCCAGGGCCTGCAGTGGGGGAAGCAGTCGTCATGGTTCTACTGCCCTCAGTGAAGTGGAGTACAGCTTTTCTATTTATTTCTCTGAAAATAATATTCTGAATTTGAGAATGTAGAGAGTATGAGATAGTAGGGAGGTCTCGGCTATCTGTAAAGATGTGCATACTGAGGCAGAGAGAGGCTGAGACACTCCCCCAGGGTCCCACAGATGTGACAACTGCTAGCTGATGTTCCTTCTGCCAGCCTTGCCCTTTCTGCCTGTCCCCATCCTTACAGCAGTTGTGTTGCAGCTCAGCTCCCAGAATAAACTTGGAAGTGTCATTCAGAGGCCACCCTCATCCCCCCTGAGTGGTCTCCCTCCTCCCAGGGATGTGGCCTCTGATTCTTACTTCAGAGGGAAGGAAGAAGGTTAAGGCTGAAGCCCCACAGCCATCCAGGAAAAATGCAGAGGTCAAAAAACTCTGCCAATTCTGGGTACCAGTGACACTCAGATACCAACAGAGCCATCAACCAGAAGAACAAAGTTGAAACTAGAAAATGAAATTAGCTCTCATCCAAACTCCCACCTCCTCCCCCTCCTCCCAATCCTGGGGGAACTTCATTAAAGCTGGTTGCTTCACAAGGGCCAAGTCTACACGGGTGCATGAGGCTTCTGCCTGCATTTCCTTTCTGCAGCCAGTGGATGTTCAGTTAGTATATGAAGAAAAGAAAAAAAAAAAGAAAAAGAAAATAATGAACAAGTATTGCCGAGTCTCTTGTCTTTACCAAATATAAAAGTAAAACACCAATTAAATAGATAGAATGTGTCTCCAAAGATTTCCAAATTTAGTTCTTTGGAAGGAATATTTTATAGCCTTCATTTCAGCTAAAATAATCGAAAGACCTAGTGGCTATTATAAGAGGATGCAATGTTAGCAGCACAAGGAAAAATAATTAGAATACAGGACCTTAGTTACATCCAGATAAGGAAAATTAAAGTCAAGGAAAAAAGCCATTGGTTGCTGCTGCAGATAAACAGTCTATAATTCTCTCTGCAGCCCCCAACAGGAAAAAAGAAAAAAAGTAATTTCCAGCAGGCTGACCCCCAAAGTATATTCTTTTTCTTTGAGGCGGAGTCTTGCTGTCACCCGGGCTGGGGTGCAGTGGCATGATCTCGGCTCACAGCAACTTCTGCCTTCCAGGTTCAAGTGATTCTCAAGCCTCAGCCTCCTGAGTAGCTGGGATTATAGGTGAGTGCCACCATACCTGACTCAGTTTTTGTATTTTTAGTAGAGAGGTGGTGTTACCACGTTGGCCAGGCTGGTCTCGAACTCCTGGCCTCAAGTGATCCACCCGTCTCAGCCTCCCAAAGTGCTGGGATTACAGGCATGAGCTACCAAGCCTGGTCCCCCAAACCATATTCTATTATGAGCACTGCTTCCACTGGATTTACAAATCTCTTCTTTTGAAATTGTAGTCTTTGAAATGATATGGCTGCTCTTCTTGCTTCAGGTGTGGCTGGAAAGTGTTAAAGGGAGCATTGTGCCGTGTTGATGGGCCTCCGAGAGGCACCAGGCAGGGCAGCTCCACCGTTCCCCTGCTGGGCCTGTTGACAGCAACTCCCGAGGTGTGCTGGGCTCACAGTCCACCCCCACAGCTTTCCCAGGGAGCCAGCTTTCATTACTCTGTGTCTGTGGCAGAGCGACTGAAATAATCACTCTGCTGATAGTCGCAAGAACAACCATCATGCATCCCAGACATTGTGCAGCCAAAGGCAGGCGGCCACACGGGCAGCCCCCAAGGGACTCCCACCCAGTCACCTTGACAAATGGCCACAAAGGCAAAAACCAATAATCACGGCGTTGGTAATAATTATGCCCATTCTCTCTCTTGGAGAACTTCTAATAAATAAACAGCAGGCAAAGTCATTGAGCCTCATTCCCCTGCTTGTCAAAGACCAGCTCAGTGGATGCTCCAAGCAAGGGGCCCAGGAACCCCACTGACCTTTTCCAGAGAAAAGTCACTCCTGGGGAAAGTGCCCTTTATTGCTGGAAGGCTACAGCGCCCTCATGTGTCTATGATTCAGATGTTTCAAAGGCCACAGCCCAATACAATTTCTAGTGGCAATTTTTGTGCTGGTTTCACAATCTCAAAATAATCTGAAAAACAGTCTTTGGATTACCCTCCAAGTACTCTGTATGAAGGCTAGCCATAATTAACTTCACCTGTGTGATTCTGTGATTCCTAATGTCCATGTTACTGCCCTGACTCTATAGAAAAGGCATCCAAGAGTGAAGTTCAAATGTACTGGAATATTTGATGGTGAGTCTGTGAAATCAGAAATTTTTTTAAAGGTTTGGCTGGGCATGGTGGCTCACACCTGTAATCTCAGCACTTTGGAAGGCCGAGGCGGGCAGATCACTTGAGCTCAGGAGTTCAAGACCAGCCTGGCCAACATGGTTAAACCTTATCTCTACCAAAAAATTAGCCAGGCATGGTGTCATGTGCCTGCGGTCCCAGTTACTCAGGAGGCTGAGGTGGGATGATCGCCTGAGCATGGCAGACAGAGGCTGCAGTGAGCTGAAATCACACCACTGCACTCCAGCCTGGGTGACAATGAGACTCTGTCTCAAAAAAATAAATTTTTTTTAAAGAAATTTTTGTAAAGGTTTAAATGTGTCTAATGTAGCATTTATGCATTTATGCTGTTTCCATCCAATAGTGAAGCACTAATTACTTATCCACAGTTATGATAATATCACTTAACTAGTTACTAATAATAAAAACTAACAGTTACAACAGTGAACACAGAGTGCTGCCTATGTGGGAAGTACCTGCCTGAAGCATCTCCCAGGTGTTAACTCCTCAGTCCTCACACAGCTCTATGAGGACAGCACTCCTGCCATCTCCTTTTTACAGATGAGGACGCCGAGGAGCAGAAGTGTGAGGAACTCCTCCAAGGTCACACAACTGTAGGTGGCTGTGGCAGGCTACAGAGGGGTTCTCTTGACCACAGTGCAAATCCCATTACAACAAACAGGAAAAAAAATAAAATTTCTCAATAACAAAGTACTTAAGCCTATGCAGATGTTGGGCATATTTAACATGGAGAACTGACTCATTAAAAGTCTGCACAGCACTTTGGGAGGCTAAGGTGGGCGGATCACGAGGTGAAGAGATCGAGACCATCCTGGCCAACATGGTGAAACCCCGTCTCTACTAAAAATACAAAAATTAGCTGGGCGTGGTGGCGTGTGCCTGTAGTCCCAGCTACGTGGGAGACTGAGGCAGAAGAATCGCTTGAACCCAAGAGGTGGAGGTTGCAGTTAGCCAAGAGCATGCCACTGCACCCCAGCCTGGCAACAGAGCAAGACTTTGTCAAAAAAAAAAAAAAAAAAAAAAAAATCTGTACTGCTGGTAGACTCAGGCAGGAGGATAGCTTAAGTTCACAAGTTTGAGACCTGGGCAACATATTGAGACCTCATCTCTACAAAACATTAGACAAATTAGCCAGACATGGTGGTACATGCCTGTAGTCGCAGCTGCTCAGGAGGCTGAGGTGGGAGGATAGCTGAAAGCCAGCAGGTTGATGCTGCAGTGAGCTGTGATTGTGCTACTGCACTACCTCCTGGGTGACAGAGCAAGACCCTGTCTCCCCCCGCAAAAAAAAAAAAAAAAAAAAAAAAATCCAATACTGGTAGGTCTTGGGTCTCTATAAGCCTCCTCAGTGTTGGCTGCATCAGGATATTGGGGGAAATGTGCACCCACACACTTTCCTCTTACTCCAAGGAAGGGCATGGAATCGTATACGGTATTGACATGTTGGGCAAGACATGAACACAGTCAAGCTTTGTTTCTTACCCTCTTGGTGAAGCAGAATAAGACCCTTGACTGGGAGAAAATGAGTAAGTGGTGATGCCACAGAAACCTGAGGCTCATTTATTTGGGTGAGATGAATTGTTTGCATGTATCAAATGAGGCTCAATCGCTAGTTCTTATGAGGTATGACTGTCACACCCATACAGCAAGAGTTTCATTCTTAACCTTGTACCCGGCTGCTGGATGAGTCTGTTTATTCATTATGTTCTCCCAAGGCAAAGGAAAGAACTAGCACCCAGGAATAACAAATGTTTCCTTAAGGTGTTGAAAGGACAGAGTTTAAAGCAAAGGAGAAGACTGTGGACTTCCTGTGTGAAGAGAAAGTCACCAGGCTGGCACAGAGCCATGGGGGCCTGGGCAAGAGGGCTGCAAACTCTTCTTGGGAGAGACACCCCGCATCCCTTCTGGGAGGGCATGCCCCAGCAGGAGAGATACCTCGCTTTGTCCCTTCTTCTTTCATCTGCTTTGAAGGCACTGGACCAAACTCCTCTTCCATGGGCCTGAACATCCGTTTAACCAGGACACTGCCGCTAGAAAAGATAAGCAGAAATCCTTAAGTAAAACAAGCAAGGTGTCAAAACACACATTCATGTACGTGTCAGTTTCTATCTTTTCCTTTGCTTATACCATCCCTATGCTCTATAACTGGATCCACTCACCAACCTCCTCTTCCCCTTGCAGGTCCCAAGCAATCCCTGTCTGAAGCAGCACACACACCACTATCTTTAGGGCATGGACCTAGCGTGCTTCCCACTGCGGAATATGGATCCACAAAGGTGAGACTTCAAAAGTGGGTTTTCCCCACTCCGTCCTACACCTATCCCTTCTTTCTGCTCAAGATCGGGGCTGGGGGGAAGTAAATCCCTGGCGTCCGCACGGTGTTCAAGTCACATCAGCCCCTCCCAACCGGCTGAGGCCTGGGTGGCCTCCTCCCTTTTGCCAGCCCTCTTGGGAGGAACAGCAGAGACCTCTGGAAATGCTGTCAGCCTGACGTGAGTTCTGTGATGTGGCTTTCCTGCCTTCCTGCATTCTACTTCTCCATCTGGCTGCAGCAGATGAGACTGCAGTGGTGGAAGTTCCTTAGACACCCAGACCTCACTGCCCAGGCCTTTGCTCTTTCTCAGGAGAGGTTTGCAGTCCCCTTTCCCAGAAGCCTGTGGTTCTGAGGCCTTGCGTGTCCCCAGCTCGGCTGGTTCTGATGTTTCTGCATTTCCTCCCACAGTCCCTGTCCATTCCAGGTATCCTAAGCAAGGGGAGGAATTTTTTTTTTTTTTTTTTCTGAGAGAGAAACAGAAACTGAGAGGATAGAAGTCATTGATAATGAGAAAATGTCCCCGAATGGAATCTGTTTTTCAAACCTTCAAGGGAACAGATGCAGGTTTTTAGAAATTTTTAGTGTCTCTGAAGATTCCTGGGACCCGGTGCTGATCACAATCCCAAAAGACACAATCCCAGGTGCCATGATCCTGAATGTTGAAATCCCAAAAATACGACGTGAGGGATTTTAGACTTCAGGGCTTTTGATCTTTTGAGATTTCAACATTCAGGATTAAGGCTCAAGCTTCCAGGGGCCAGGCACGTGAAACAATGCAAGATGGGTAGCTCCGCATGGCTGTTAAGACAGGAACTCTGAGACCACATGACCTCGGTTTAAATCCCCGCCTTACAATTTGCTATAGGAGCCTGGACCAGTTCCTCAACTTTCTTGGGCCTCAGTCTCCTTATCTTTAAAAGGAGGCTATTAAGAAAATTGAATAAATCCCCATGTGTAAAGCACTCAAGGCTCCCTGATACATAGTAAGCGCTCTTCAAGTGTTAGATGAAGATGATGATGATGATGATGATGACAACAAGTTGGAGAGATTAGAGGAAGAGAGACCTTGAGAAGAGTAAACAAGGCAGACAGTTTGAAAGATGTTCGAGTTTCCATTTATCATCAGATAGCAGACATCCCAAACAGCCACTTTGGTCACCTGAAGGACTAATGTTGGTAAAGCTCCCTGCATGGGAGATTGACAGTATTATCAGTCCCAAGCTTTCAAGATCATGCAAAACCTTCAACTCTCCATCAGCATTATTGTCATTATGAAGTTATGTATCAATTCTCAAGTGAAGTTAATGGTAGGGTCTAGTGGTAAAAAGAGCACATGGTATATGGCCGGGCAATGGTGGCTCACGCCTATAATCCCAGCACTGTGGGAGGCTGAGGCGGGAGGATCACTTGAGGTTGAGAGGTCAAGACCAGCCTGGTCAACATGGTGAAACCCTGTCTGTACTAAAAATACAAAAATTAGCTGGAGGTGGTAGCGCACGCCTGTAATCCCAGCTACTCTGGGGGCTGAAGCAGGAGAATTGCTAGAACTCGGGAGGCAGAGGTTTCAGTGAGCCGAGATCTCACCAGCCTGGGTGATACAGCAAGACTCCATCTCAGAAAAAAAAAGAAGCACATGGTATAAAACTGTGAACAGTCCCCAAAGTATTTCTGTTAAGTCTAACAGTTTAAGTTATTAAACCAATGCTGCTTTAATTTACCTTCTCATACTAGCTGGTCTAAAAGGTATATCTGTCCTTCAAAGTCCTTAATAAGACTTCAGATGTTACAAAGCACATTTCTCCTCTGTCACTGAAGTCTTACGAGCACCCTTGAGCCAGCCGAGGCAAGGACTAATTTTATCCCATTTCAGTGATGACAAGAGGTGCAGTGCGTTCAGTGTCAAATGCAGGGCAATGCAACTAATATGTGAAACAGGCTGTTCAGAGAAGCACCTTTGAGGAAGCGACCTCATGATAAAGCTATTCAATAACCCTGAGATAATGAGGAAGGGTATGAGAAATGCTCTTCAGTGTCAGCATCCTCTTCATTTATTTCCTAGTAAGTCAGACTATAGAAACAACTAGAGAAAAAATATAAAACCCAGATCCCAGCTGAAGGTGGTAACTTATTAAAGATTTTAGGGCAGTGTTCCCTCCACCTTCCTCTCACTATGTTGTCATAAAAGCAGGTCTGTTACTCTGTCCATCTTGGAACTGAAGTGACCACGGCCTCAGGGCTAGAAGATTTAAAAACCCATTCACAGCAGTCAGTGACCAGTAGGTTAATAATGGGTAAATAGCCTGAAATATCACCAGACACTCCATCATGCTGTGTGAGGGTTCCTAACCTAGTGACTTTCTTTTTCACCAAGCAAGATTTATTTATATTTTTCCAGTTCTGCTGACTTTTGATAGCACCCTGTTCTGAACCATGACCAACTCTGCCATTAAAATAACATCTTGGATAAACCACATTTCTTCTGGGAGTTCAAAAATGCTTTTTCACACTTTCAAATCTGTAAACTCAGTAGGAGTGAATAAGTTTGTGTGGCTCAAATTCAACTGTTTCATTTATTTTCAAAGCAAGGCAAGAAAAGAAGGGCAGCTATGACTGCCCCATTTGACAGATGAAGAAAGCAAATTTCAGGTCTCCTGATGCCCAGTCCAATTGCAGCCCGCCCTCTGTAGCTGTGGGTTCCACATCCATTCTTATAGCTTCAACCAACCACAATAAAAAAATTCAGAAAAAAATTGCATCTGTACTGGACATGTACAGACTTTTTTCCTTATCATTAGTCCCAAAACAATATAGTATATCAATTACTTACACAGAATTTGCGAAGGATTAGGTATTATAAATAATCTAGAGATGATTTAAGGGAGGACGTGTGTCAGTTATATGCAAATACCATGCCATTTTATACCAGAGACTCTTCTTCAGTCTGTGAATTTTGGTATCCGTGGGAGGTCCTGAGGCCAATCTTCCACAAATACTGAGAGATACATGTACCACAGAAGGACCGGAGAGCAAGAAAAAGGTGCTTTCTCTGACATCAATTTCCACCTCCCTGGCACAATATGGGGTTATTATGTAGAATGATTCTAGGCTCAACAGCACATTCAGCCATTATCTTGTAGGATCAACTCAGGAAAAGCAAGTCCCTGAGGTGTAAAGGTAGTGTTAAGTTTCATCAGAAAAACAGTGGGAAGGTGTCAGGTCTGAACCAAGGATCTCTGGCCAAACCTGTAAAAGGCAAGGTTGCAGCCTACCTGCCAGGGTCAACTTCACTAGGCATTGTTTGCCTACTGAGGAGGTGCCCAAGAAGAGGAAAGAATGGGGTTGCAGGCACCACGGAGACGTAGTTTGCCTATTTCTCGACTCTGCTTGTGGCCTATGTATGCTGTTACCATGAATGCCCTACCTAAATGGAAGTCCCTTGCCCATGTTATCCTCAGAAAAGAAGTCATCTTATATTCAAAGCTGCACAAAGTCTTTCGCATTTTGAAGTAGGGTCTAAATCCATTTATTTTCAACGAATTACTCTTTGGGGAAGAACTTAGCCCAAAATGATTTCAATCAATGCTGCTTTAGGATGTTTAATAGAAATCATTTGAGAGAATCAGTAAAAAAACAAAAACAAACAAAAAACACACAACACACATTTAGTAACTATTAGTGAATTATGAGCTCAAAATTGCAAGTCATAAAAAACTAGGTCAGTAGGCCCCAGAGGAATCATTTTCAAGGGTAATATAGATATTTCTGTTCCCTGCTAAAATGTTATAGCTTGTGGCAGACCAATGTTCCAGCCAAGAAGACTTGAAAAACTGTTGAAAAAAAAATTTTTTAATCTTATTGAAGGTATTGGAGAGCTGCTGATGAGGCAGCTGGAACCTGAGGAGCTGAAATCTACTGCAGAGAGGTGAGCTGATCATCAGTGACAACTTCTTCTCTCAAAGCACTTGCCAGTTCTTGGTGGGGTGTAGAAGATGAGGCTCAGACCTAAGGGCAACGATGCTTTCATAGCTTTCAGCAATCTCATAGTGTTTGAGAAACAAAAATTGGGGTTTAGGATTACAAAGGTACCCAGAATTTATTGTCAAACTTCCAGAGAGAAGGGAGGTACAGAGAAGTGAGCCAGACACTCTGTAGTATTCCAGTGAAAGCATTTGCCGAGTTCTTAAGCTGCATAGGACAAGAGAATAAGTTATGCAAAAAGCCCTTGAAAAATCATTGAAGAGGTTTTGGCAGTCTCATCACCCTAAGGAGTCAAAAATCAGGTTATCAGGCCTCACCAAAGAAACAGACCCATAGTAAGTCCCTCATAACTACAACCTAGGGTGAGCCAGAAGTAGTTTGAGGCTAATACAAACTACAACTCAGGTTTGGGTCAGCTCTGCCCCTGACTCAGTTATAGTGATCTGCACCCACTGAGGCAGCATAACTTTCATAAGAAAGAAATATGATCATATACAATCTCCATAATTTGTATATACATTGTCTACCATTAAATCAATGTTTATCAAGCAGACTAATAAACAGGACCAAAAGAAAAACAGACAGTAGAAACAGACCCACATATAACATTTATATCAGTTATTTGAGGTAAAAAGTAACTTCAGTGATGAGAAAGGACCTAACATTGAAGATGAATTGTGAAGAATTTCAGTAAGTGTATTTCACAAAATGTGATAGATATTTCTAAACTATACAACATGTTTTTCTTTAAATGTATGTGTAATTAAATTAGCAAAAGGTAGTATCAGTAAATCATTGACTCTTCTGGCTATATAAAGGTTTACCTATTTAGACTGGCCTCAAAACTTGATGTTTTCATCTTCTCCTTGGGAAATTGGGGACATTGCCCAGTATTTTTAATCACTTTATATTCAGGTATATTTGGTAATGCATAACCCACCACCTCCTACGTTTCATGGTTTTCTTGGCATCCCTGGCAACTTTATCAAAGAAAAGCACTTGATTCTCTGGAAAATCATTCCTCTAAGAGAAATAGGGCAGGACTCTAGAAGAATTTTATTTTGTAATCCCATAAAAACTGATAATAAACACAGAGTGATGAGTTTTTAGATTTAACATTATGTTGATTAAATGCACTCACTGTTGATTGGTTAATAATCTCTGACTCCCCAAAAAGGCAATAAATTCTAGCCAAAATGTTTGATTCCATGGAAGATGAGCAGGATCTTGGTCTCCTATTCTCAGCAATGCTATGATCGAGCTCATGGTTTAGTCTGGCAGTGTCTACAGGACCTCCCTCCTGCAGAAGAGGCAAGGCCCTCTGCTGCAGACACTCAGGGCCTTATGAGTAAAGTCACTTCTGAAGCCAACTCTCAGAATGGTGTGAGACCAACCTGGGGGGTGGCCCAATGTTTACCTTCTTCTGGCTCTTGTTTTCCTAAAGTCTCAACCATTGATGAGATTATACATGGTGGTTCCAAGGGAGATAATGGTATGTGGTGTGCCTTTAAGAAGCATGGGAGAAAATACATTCTTGGAGAGAGTTGCGGTCTGAGCATCCCAAGCAGCCTGGAAATGGTAAGATCTTGAAGAGAAACCACTGACCTCTGAACACACGATCACCCAATCTTACCAAGGATCCTAGTGCCCCAAATGCAGTGTAGAAGCCACAAAGCTGCTTGACTTGAAGGGGTCTTGCTGCAGGCTGGAAAAAGAGGACCTCAGCGGGACCCACTGAGGACAGAGGATCAGAGCAAGAGGGGTTTCCAAGAAACCAGAGGCCAGATATAGATGAAGACCAGATCTCCAAAAATAATGGAAATATAATTTATCATCATGCATGCTATTTGCATATCAACTTGCATATTATTTCAGGGGGGTTAAAACCTGCCCCTCTTTCTCCATAAGAGACATCCATAAATTCCACATTAAAGGACTATTCTCTATGGAAAAAATATTTGTTTAGCTTCTTCTTTCTTTTCATCTCTATCTCCCTCTCTTCCATTTCTCAATTAAGTATCATTTTTTTTCATGGTCGGAATAGGAATCTTAACAATAACAATAGCTATGACTTTAAAAAAATCTAATTCCATGTGTCAGGACATTCTATACATTAATGCTTATAATAATGCTAGCAGGTGGGTATTATTATCCTGCTATTTTTAGATGAGAAAAATGAGACTCTAAAAGATTGTTATTTTAAGTTAAGAACTTCTAAGATCAAAACCAGATTCAAATTGTGGCTGACTAACGTGATGTTTTTTAAACCCCCAAGTGATTTGATTGTGCAGCAAGAGACCTGGCATTGAGAACTGCTGTCCAAAAGACTCTATTTCTGACTGCCATATTCCCTGCCTACCAGACTGGAAATGCAGAGAAGTCAACACATCTGCGTGATTGTGAGGTTACCAGGAGAGAGGCTCTTGTGTGTTATACCCTCAGTCTGGTCATTGTGTGAGTGATGATTTTAAGCACTCATTTGCATTCTTGAACATGAATGTGAGCATTAATTAATGTATTAATCAATGTGGCAGGGAGAGGAAAGGACATGGCCAATGAGCAGTCCTGTTGGAAGCTGTACAAATACCAGTGAAGCTGGCACTCCTTAAGGTTAGGTGAACACTTATGGTGGCCTCAGATCTGCTCCCCTCTGCTAGACACACTCATCTGGGCTTGTCACAGTCTAGGTCCTACACTCCAAGGAATGAACCAAGGGTGTGCCTTTGTCAAGGCCGGAAAGCTATCTCAGCGAGGGCCGGTCTCTTGATGCCTACTTTGTAGCCGCAGTTTGAGAATTAAGAGGATTAGACAGTAGAGCATCATGGCTAAAAGCCAGTGATGGGAAATACAGCGAGACCCAGGTTTAAATCCTGCCTCTATCACTTACCAGCTGTGTGTCTTTGAACAAGTCTCCTAATCTCTTGAAGCCTCAGTGTCCTCATTATAAAATGGGAGTCATGGGAAGTCTGGGAGAATTCAATGAGATCATGCATAAAGCACTTAGCACAGTGCCTAGCCAAGGTATCCAGTCATGTTAATTATTACTTTTACACATCACTATAGCCACACACCTACCATGTCTTAACACTCAGGCTCCAACACTATTCATGTCACTCATTCAAACTCTAGTGTGATGTGTAAGAGCAAAAGATGCAGGCCTTGGGCCTCATGTTTGTACAATAACACAGGGTGAGCCAAGACAGAGAAGCCAAACCAATGGAGTTACAAGTAGGTCGATGGCCATCTAACTGCAGTCAGCTTGCAAGGAAGGACAGTTTGAGGTGAGAGAGATTTACAACTGAGGCCTGCACATCAAGGAGCTTTCAGGATCTCAGACCCTTCTCACTCATAATACTAAGTTTTCCCATGAGAACAATAGCATGTTACTGTTGGATGGAATCTTCGAGATCTTATGCAAGATCCTCAATGTCAAATTAAGGAAACCAAAGCCCAGAGATCAAGGAGCTGGCCCAAGGCTTTACATTAGTAAGCGGTAGCCCAGGAGTGGAACTCGGGCTTCCTGAGCTCAGAGTCAATGTTGTTTCTGTGACTCCACATTGTGCCTCATTAAACATGGGAATTACTGATTAGAATTGACAGTGCTAGTCATTTCTGTTCATTCTAACCACTGGGAATATAGTATGTATGTGCCAAGATAGAAAGAACAGTCTAATTAGGTATTTAGAAGATTTAGAACTCAGAATTTAGAGGTTAAGTGCTGGATGAGGTTCTGCTCCTCATCAGCTAGGGAATCATTTGACTCCTTTGAGATTTTCTGTCTTTTAGGATAGAAGGTGGCAAACTTTTTCTGCAAAGGGGCAGGCAATATTTAGACTTTGCAGGCCATATGGTCTCTGTTGTAACTACTCAACTCTGCTGCTGTAGCAGCAAAGATGCCACAGACAATACATAAATGAATTGACACAGCTGTTTCCAGTAGCACTTTACTTAAGAACACTTGGATTTTATTTAATTTTCATGTCACACAATATTATTCTTCTTTTGAATTCTTTTCAACCATTGAAAAAAATGTAAAAACCATTTGTAGTTTGCAGACTATACTAAAACAGGCAGTGGGCCTGATTTGGTCCTCTGGCTATAGTTTGCCAACCTCTGCTCTAGGAATAAACTCAGCAATATCTGCTCCATTTTGCCAACTGTGAAATGTTTTGCAAGTAAATATATTAATTATATAAGAATAGGGAAGCCCTGGTTTGACTGTAACTTGAAGAAAAAAGATGTAAAGATTTTAGTGACACATATGTAATGCAACCAAGAACATAAAGTAGCTATTGAAAATGCATGTAGTTCTAGATTGCTTTGAGTATAAAATAGCATCCAGGTCCTAAGAAGAAATCTTCCAATATAATCTGCAACTCATGTGGTTCAGAACACATATTTATTCTGACCCAGCCAATTTTAAGGAGACTACTAACAAATTTAGTAGTATACCTGGGAGGGAAATTAAGATGTTGAGAAGTAAAACTATATTTTACCAAGAACAGTTGTAGGGAGGAAGGGGATGTTTGAATGATGAGGGAAGATGAGACTTATCCAGAGAGCAGAGCTAAGACCAACGGTAGAAGTCAAAAGAAGGTAGACATCAGCTCAACAGACAAAAGAACTCCCTAAGAGCTGGAATTGTCCAATAGTGTGATGAGCTATCTCACACACATGAACTCTCCATCACTAGGAATTTTCAAGTAGAAAATGGCTGACTGCTTGTCAAATAGGTGGTATAGCTGTTACCATCATCTACGAGGGGAGGTCAGCTAAATGACCTTAAAGTTTCCTTTTGGCCCTAAAATTCTGAGTCTACAAACTGAATTAATGGAGAGAAAGCAATTTGAAGATCTGGCTGCTACTGAAAGCCTGTAGGACCACATTCAGAATGTGGAGACATAGGGCGTCTCTGTGACTGTCTCTTACCCACAATTGAAAAGGCTCTCAGTCCAATTGATATTCAAACCAGCCTCACTACTGGCTTGCCGGGCTAACTTCTTCTCAGGGAGAGGGATTTGAGGGTTGTATGTGCATCCCAGACAGTACCGGAAGTAGGGTAGGCTGTCATCTTTGAGTCTTGCCTCAAGCTCATCTTGATCTTGTGTTGGGGCCAAACAATAGGTAAGAAGAACTACCAAGAAGATTTCACCAACTGGATTATTGATGAAAGGATGGAATGGAAGGAATGGGTCCCTTAGAAAAACAGCTAGTTATTCAAAGGGGTGGGTCATAGGGAGGAAGCGGGTAGGGAAAGAATCCTGGAAGTAGAAAGTTATTCATTCCTCCAGCCCCCAGCCTCCCTCCCAGATGGTCCCCAGAATCAAGCGTCTCTCAGCTGTGAGTCCTGAGGTGAGAGGAGGGTTTCACTTCCTGCCTAGGGTTATCCAGTGCTGGAAGAGCCATTACCACTGACATGCGCTGACTTGGAGCGTTGAAATGAAAGAACCGAGTGTCTTACCCTTCTCGTTCATCATCCGCATTGTAATACACCTGTGGAACAAAACAATAGGCTTACTGTAGGTCAGAGACAAGAAATGGAAAAAATATTACGTGATGTACAGACTTTCCTAAGGCATAAACTGTCTCTTAAAAAGGCAAAAGACTAATCTGTTTAATGATGCTGTGTGTGTGTGTGTGTGTGTGTGTGTGTATTTCTAAGGAAATCCATATTTAACCTCCTTATAATCTCCATGGAGTTAATTCCTAGATTTTAATAAAATAAGATTGGAAATCTGATTATTTCTAGCTAAAGTCAGTCAGATTAGATTAACTATGGCATTAAGCCAAATCTTACTCTTGACATTAAGGAGATATTTTGGTGGGATCTAAAATCCGTTGTTTACAAAGGCTCTGGCTTTGCAGGGTGGGTCCTTTCCTGCCCCCTGTGTAGCACAGTGTCTGGAATCAGCTTGCCTGTGGATCAAATGGGGGATGGAGAGTGGGGTAAGAGGGCAGTGTGACGGTAAGTAGGCCTGTCTACTTACTCCCCAAAGGGGCTCAGGGTATCTTGGCATCCCTGCAACCACAGAAATTTAGGAGTCAACAGTCTTCAGGCCAGGAAAGGTCATTTAGCTCTGGAAAGTGTTCCTGGCCAGAAGGAAGATCTCCAAAGACAGACTTTAGGTAGTTGGCATGGCAGAAGGCAGAATCAGATTAAAGAAATTATGAAGCATCCTTATTATTTTATAGAAAGAACCATGGGAGAAATCCAGAGGGCATCTGCTATGTATATATGTCCTCTTGACCCAATTATCTGTAAACATTAATTGTGAGTCTTTTGTCATCTTTATCTGTGTGTGTCAGGACTGTTGTGTTTGAGCGAATAACAGGACTGTTGTGTTTGAGTGTGTTTGAGTGAGTTAGTATCAGGTATTTACATATTAACTCAAAAGTAGCCTCTGATTCTAGTACATTAGTCACTGTCCCTGCCTCTGCCTGGGTGAGAAACAGCTGTGTCTAGATAGACAACCTCCCTGCAAACCTTCTCAAAGGCTTTTGGCAGTTCCTGGGATGCCGTCAAGCCTAGATCTACTTACAAAACAAGACTGGTTACCTGGAACTCTCCGGGAATGAGTCATTCTAGTCATTAGCTCAGATTTCTACAGGAATTTGTCCTCTTAATTTTTTAATGGCTATGGTGGTTTTTGACTGCAGTAGTTTTTGAGATGCTACAAATCCTTGCGTCTCTCTTGCTCCCCTTTCTCTTTCTACCCACTTAAGGGAAACCAGCCATATCCACTGGCCTGCCACTGCTGGCTCTTGTTTTGCAGGTCAAAGTTAGCCAATCTCTGCTCCATCCCCAAATCTAAGGCCATGGCACTGCCTCTTCTCTCCCGTCTTTGGAAGGATCTTTGTATTGTATACTTAGTTTCTTCTTAAACAGAAAACAGAGGAGATAAGTTTTTTCTTCTCATCGGAAGTCTCAGCGTGGCATTCAGAGCAACTGTCATTGGGATGTACAAGGAATAGGACTGCCTAATTTCATGAATATGGAGTAACCCACCTAAGTGAAAGAGGCTGGGGCATTCCACTGGCCATGCAACTGGATTATTTTGATAAAGTTCCCCATGTTGGCTTGTGTTTTGCTGCTTTCTTTAAACGTGGCATAGTGCATCTATCTGGCCTGACTACTGGCCTCTGCAAAGTTGGTTGGTGACTCAAAGATGGAAGCAGCCTTCTCTTAGGTGTTTTCCCACCCTCCAGAATGTTCTTTACATCACTGTCCTTTCTTTGTCATTTCTCCTCCTTGCTCACAAGGACCCACTATTTCTACCATGTCAGCTGTTGGGCCCATTGCACTAACTTAATTTTTAGAGCATATTTTTCAAACTTTAGAGTGCATAAAAATATCTGGAGACTTTATCGTAAATAAAAATTCCTGGAACTCACTTGGGGAATTTTAACTCAAAAGATCAAGGATGGAACTCAGGAATCTGAATCCTTATCAATAACTCCTATGATTTGGAAAAAGTTTTTTTTTTTTACAAACAACAGTGCAAGAAATGGTTTCTGAGTGTGTGAGAGAGGAGAGGAGTCCTCCTTGGGCTCAAGAGCTTTGAGGAAGGTTGATGCAAGCAAAGTAGACATTATCTAAAAAGACAATGCTTCTGCATCCCACCATTTTTCCCAATCTCGCCTAATCACATGACCTTTAAAGGCATCCAGACAAAAACAGCCTGAATATCAGGGCTTCAATATCAGGTGAGTGAGACTGAAGGGCTCCATAGTGCCTGCACATTGGATTTATTCCTTCATAATAGTTTTGATAAATGTCTCAAGAATATTTCAATCCACATGTGAATCAATGAGATAATGGGAGAGGTGGGGGGCAGGTAGCCTGACAGCGAAATACCCACTCCCCAGGTCATGTCCTTGAGTGAACAAGGACTGCTGCCCTGTAGCTTCAGCATAGCTTGGGAGTGCCTCACTGCCCATGAGAACCACAGGGCTGCTGGCCCTGCAGTTGTGTACAGCTGCAATGCAGCTGATTTTAGCAAGTCTCAGGACTGTAGTGGTTTTTGAGATGCTACAAATCCTTGCGTCTCTCTTGCTCCCCTTTCTCTTTCTACCCACTTAAGGGAAACCAGCCATATCCATTGACCTGCCACCGCTGGCTCTTGTTTTGCAGGTCAAAGTTAGCCAATCTCTGCTCCATCCCTGAATCTCAGGCCATGGCACTGCCTCTTCCCTCCTGTCTTTGAAAGGATCTCCCAGGCATCTAGCTTTTTTGAGAAAAGGCACTCTGAAAGTCCCTAGCCACTGTCCAAGCTCCTTTCCTTCAGCTAAGCTAGCTGATCAATCACGGGATAGTCACAGGTTGTTCTAGGGACAGCTGAGTGTGTTCCTTTGTTACCAGAAACTCAGGGCAGGCTTCTTCATTGATCCTCCTCTCCCAATCCAAGGCCATGGGAGAAGGTTGAGAGCTCCGAGGAAGGCCTTCAGATATACAGGGGAATATACAGGCAGGATATACAGGGGGGTGCTGACTGGGCTGCCTGGCAAATGCTGAAACCAACAGACTGAAACATCTGCACTTTCCTTCTGATTCTGCCTCAGGCTGACAGCCGGGCTCATGACACCTGGGGGCAGGATAGGTCAGTGGACTGACAGTCAAGAGCAGCCAGATAGGGCCACTTTTCCTCCTCAGATTAATTTACACTTTGTATATTTTGGAGAAATCTTGCCAAGAGAACTGGTCAGGTTGTTAGCTTTGACATGGAACTGAGGTCGGAGTCATGACAGTAAACTAAAAATAAGAACAATTTAACTCAATTATCCCTTCTTCTGGAAGGCATGGAAATCTAGCTCCATAAAATCCCATGGGGCACAGACAGTGCAGACACAAATCATCACCATGGTCTTAGGAATTAAAAAAAATAGGTACTGGCATGCTTATCTTGATAAATTATAAAATTCCTCCTCCCCACTTTGTGTCCTTGTTCTTATCCAACAAGTAAGACAGGATGAAAATGTTAAATCAGTTTTTAGTGTTAATGTGTTTTCAGAAACAGCTATAGGCATTTTATTACCATGTTGGGTCATGAATAACAACAAAAAAGCCGTGGTTGTAGAGTTACTCTGTCTCATGAATCTAATGAAAGAACACAGAACACTGGGGGACAAAATACATCTAAAAGAGAAAGTAAAGCCAGTAGTGATTTCTCTTCCTACACTAAGGTCAATTCCAATGAGTGTCTGCATGCTTAGAATGGAAGAAAAACTTAAATGTGTCAGTATACTCCTATTTCTCAAAACAGATGTTTCCTCAAAGAACTTTGGGTTTAAAAGAAAACTCATCGAATCAAAAATTCATTAAAACCCAATTGATTTGGTGAAAAACAATTCTGGTTAATGCTAAGGAAATAATTATTTTTTTCCTTTTTCACACAATTTTTTTTTTATCACATAACAGAAATAATACTAAAAACAAAAACAAAAAATCAGCCATATCTCATAACCCTGTAAAAAGTGTTGCAATTTTTCTTGCTCCCTTCAAATTCAGTTATATGTTTTGGGATCATAATATGAACACAAATTACTATTCTACATTTTTTTTCCCACTGAACATTATCATAACTAGGTCCCATGTTGCTACGTAGTTTACATAATTAAAATTTTAGTGACTGCATAATATTCCATCAACTTGAGCTACCATAGTGAGTTAATTATTGGACATTTACGTTAGTTTGAAATATTTCGTTTCACTTGTAGATATAACTAGAAGACAGAAATTATTTCTTAAGGGAGCTTCTCTACAACCTCATTTTTATTTTGATGTGAAATGATTTACCCATTAAATGGGAACTTTTTATTTACTAAGCGAAAATTTGTTGAATGAGTTTTATTTAAGCTGAGACTCCCCTTGTGCAACTTTATGAAGTTATAGGTGCAGTTTAACTTCCCACCATTAGGTGGAGCTCTATTGTGTCAGGATAATCCCCGCCATGACAAAGCTGACAGAACAAAACTTACAGGTTATCAGCCTTCTCGCTTTCTTTCTCTTCCACGCTTTGTCAACGCTTCACTAATATCAGCTTACTCTCCTCTTCGACTTAGTTTCCTCTCCTGAGACATTCCTTTCTATAAAAATGCATTTACTATAGGGAATGACATTGACTTTTTCTCTAGCGAATGGAAGGTAAGTTATTTTTAAGGTCAACACTGTCTTGAAATGCTTCTATCTTAAGGCCCTACCTTCCCTGTGGATGGATGGGAGGTGGGCGTTAGCTGGTAGGTCATACCTGTCCAGTCCTCTGCAGGTTTGCAAAGTGAACATCAGGTATGAAGAGAACTGGCTGTGAGTGGAGATCAGGCATGGTTTTGAAGTAGGTGATGTCACTCTTCTTCTGTAAAGGTATGGCGGCCAACTTCCCATCAGAGGCTGGATGGGATCACAAAACTCATAAATGAGAGAGTCATATATGACTAAGAACTCTCAATTCTAAGTCCTAGTCTTAAAGTCCACGATTTTCTCCTAGGAAGCTTTCTGAATACCATAGATGTGAACATACTTTGACACCTCCCACCACCTCATCCCAGCAAAACCAGCAGGAGCATGGACTTCAAGTGAGCACTCCTGAGGTGAAGCTCAACGCCCCTCACACCCTCCTATCCCTTCATGCACCCAAGATTCCTTGTCTGCAGAAGGAGGATGCTGGTCTCCACGTTATTACAAAGTCCTTCCTAGCTCAAACACACTGTGCTCATGTGATTCTATTTGCTTTTCACAGGGATAATCAATCACCCTGTCTCCACTGCCAGGGGAAGGCAAACCATGCCTTGCATGCATGTAGTTTTACCTGCAACCCACTTCTTCCACCTGTTCCCCCAGTGGACACAGCCCACCTGCAGTCTTTAGAAAGCGACATTAGTCTCAGTGAAACTCACAGCTGTTACATTGAGTTTGGGAGGCCTGGCCTTTCCCTTTCTTCCTGTTCTGCTTCCGCTCTTCATCTCGGATTTTTCTTTCTGCTCCCTGATAGGAAAAAAAAAAAAAATACAGACAATGCCAGGCATATTAGCAGAGCATGCAAAAGTCATGTCACACATAAGTCATGAGGATATGAAACAATGCAGGGGAGAAGGAAACCAGGCAGCCCCATTTCTATTCCTCTGGCAAGGTTGGGCTTTGGTTCTGAAAGCCAAGACCACTCATAAGTCTATAGCACATTTGTGTCCTGTGAGTGATCCTGCCTCTCCCAGATTTTCTCTCCTTTTTTGGTATCTTTCCTATTTAAAGAAATTCAGTTTTGAATCCATATGGAAAAAATCAACACAGTTCGCTAAACCAGTGAAACCCATTAAGTGACTTTAGTGATTATAATAAAATGTCAGAAGATGAATCATTGACCCATTATATTTATTCCTAGGCATGGAGAGGGTTTTAAAGTGTGAATTCCCTATAAAATGTTTCCTTTGCTTTCCTTTTAAACTTTAAAAAATTATTACAGTGGTGGAAATGAAAGAAGCCATAAGGAAACCACACAAGATGTAGGACTACTTTGTACATGTAAGTATGGTTTTTGTTTTTGTTTTAATATTTCCATATGTTCTTAGAGAGAGTGTTCATTCAACCAAATAGAAAAATGTTTAGTCTATTAAACTCCTGTTTGCTCCTCTGTTTTTGCAATTTGCCTTTTTCATGGGCTCCTCTTGCCAAATCGCCAAATCGCATCCTACTTAACCATTTGACCACCACCCTGTATCTCTTTACTTCATGGCCTATAATGATGCCCTATCTTTTCTCTTTGGTTATCTCTCTATGAGTTTTGCTAACTCATTTTCTTTTCCTTATCCCCCAAATACAGACATCCCAAAATGGATTCCTTTTCCTTGCTCTATCTCTACTCTTGCCGTGGAAGAATTAATCTGTATCTTCGTTTTCACAAGGCACTAGGTAGGTGACACTCTGATCAACATCTCCCACCTAAACTCCTTCCCTAAGTTTCAGATTCATGTTTACAGTACTTGCCCATTGTGGTGGCATATTTAGGGAGCAGCAATGCATAGAATGGCCAGCAACCTTGCACCCTTCCAAAATTGTCCCCAAATCATCACATATAAAACAGATAGATTTAACAATATAAAAACTTAATCCTTCTGTATGCAAACAAATCAATTAAAAGACAAAGGAAAGGTTGGCAAAAATACTTGCAATAAAATATCACATAAAATGTCAAATCCTTAATATATAAATAATGATTCAAATTTTAAAAACAGCTAACATACTAATAGAACAATGGACAAGAGTCATGAAATAGGCAATTCACAGACAAAGACACACACATGGTTTGAATTATTACAGGACAATGAGATATATTTTTTGCTTATCAAATTGGCTTTTGTAGAAAAGCAGATTCCCAATTCTGGCCAGCATGATGCCATGACACAGTGAGAATTTATGGTCAATGAAGGCTTCACAAAAGAGATGGCTTATGGCTTTAAACTAATTTTTGGAGAATGAGTAATAATAGCTAACTCTGTGCCAGGGAATTTCTAAGAGCTTTACATAATAGAATTGAAATAGCTTAATATTTTAACCAGATCATTTAAATGTGCATTTTTATATTTTAAAAACTACCAAATGAAATAATTATTTTACTTACTACCAAAAGGGGGAATTTTATAGTGCTTCATATGAAGTTTTGAATTGTCATTGACACTTGCAGATCATGGAAATTCACAGCAAAAGGGGCATAAAATATAAAACTATCTGCTAGGAAAATCTCTTCCTGATATATAAAGGTTTTGTACAGTTTTGTGCTAGAAAACATATTTTCAAAAAATGAAGTGCTAAATGCACAGATACAATCTTCAATTGGATGTGAAACATAAGCAAAGGGGTTCTTTAAAATACTAAAGTCTGTAATAGGAGCTATTTTTTTTATTGGGTCCATGCAAGGCATTTTTCTATGTGCTTGGGGCTCTGTACAATATAACATTTAATAGAAATAAAATTTAGATTTTGTTAACCTGTATAAATTATAGCTGCCCCCAGAAACACCCCAAGTTGGGTCAAGGAATTTGATTTCTGAGTTAATGTTTTATTTTGTACTATTTATGAGGAAAGGGAAAATAATTAATCTGTTTCAAGATTTATACAGAAGCATACCTCAGAGGTACTATAGGTTCAGTTCCAGACCCCCATAAAAAAGAAATATTGAAATAAAAAGAGCAACACTTTTTTTTTATTTCCCAGTGAATAGAGAGGTTATGTTTGCACTATAGTGTATCAAGTGTGCAATAGCATTATGTCTTAAAAATGTACATATCTTAATTTAAAAATACTTCATTGCTAAAAAAATACACACTGAAGCTTTAGCAAGTTGCAGTCTTTTTGCTAATAGATGGTCTTACCTTGATGTTGATAGCTGCTGACTGATCAAGGTGGGTTGCTGGTTGGGGTGGCTGTAACAATTTCTTACAATAAGACAAAAATGAAGTTTGATGCATCAATTAACTCTTCCTTTCAGGAAAGATTTCTCTATAACATGTGATGCTGTCTGATAGCACTTTACCCACAGTAGGACTTCTTTCAAAATTGGAATCAATCCTCCCAAGCACTGCTGCTGCTTTATCAACTAAGTTTATGTAATATTCTAAATTCTTTGTTGTCATTCCAACAGTGTTCACAGCCTCTTCACTAGCAGTAGATTCTATCTCACTTTCTTTGCTCATCCATAAGATGCAACTCCTCATATGTTTCTTATGAGATTGCAGCAATTCAATCACATCTTTAGGCTCCACTTCTAGTTCTAATCTTGCTGTTTCCATCACATCTGCAGTTACTTCCTCTACTGAGGTATTGAACACCTCAAAGTCATCCATGAGGGCTGGAATCAACTTCTTCCAAACTCCTGTTAATGCTAATATTTTGACCTCCTCCCATGAATCACGAATGTTTTTAATGGCATCTAAAATGGTGAATTCTTTCCAAAAGGACTTCAACTTACTTTGCCCAGAACCATCAGTGGAATCACTATCTATAGCAGCAACAGACTTACCAAACACATTTCTTAAATAAAAAGACTGGAAAATTAAAATCATTCCTCGATCCGTGGACTGCAGAATGGATGTTGTTGTGTTAGCAGGCATGAAAACAATATTTATCTTTTTGTACATCTCCACCAGAGCTCTTAGGTGACTGGGAACATTGTCAATTAAAAGGGATCTTTTTTTTCCTGAGCAGTAGATCTCAACAGTGGGCTTAAAATTAAGCCCACCAGAAACACATAAGCTGTCATCCAGGCTTTGTTGTTTTGTTTACAGAGCACAAGCAGACCAGATGTAGCAAGATTTTTAAGGACCCTAGGATTTTTGGAATGGTAAATAAACACTGACTTCAACTTAAAGACAGCAGCTGCGTTAGCCCCTAATGAGAAAGTCAGCCTCTCCTTTGAGGTTTCAAAGTCAGGCATTGACTTCTCTCTAGCTATGAAAGTCCTAGGTGACATCTCCCAATAGAAGGCTATTTGCTCTACAATGAAAATCTGTTGTTTAGTATAGCCACCTTAATCAATGATCTTAGTTACATCTTCTGCATAACTTGCTGCAGCTTCTACGTCAGCACTTGCTGTTTAATCTTGCACATTTATGTTATGGAGATGGTTTCTTTGCTTGAATCTTATGAAGTGATCTCTGCTGGCTTCAAACTTTTCTTCTGCAGCTTCCTCATCTCTCTCAACCTTCATAGAGTTGAAAAGACTTAGGGCCTTGCTCTGGATTAGGCTTTGGCCTAAGGGAATGTTGTGGCTGGTTTAATCTTCTATCCAGACCACTAAAACTTTCTCCACAACAGCAGTAGGGCAGTTTCACTTTCTTATCATTTGTGTGTTCACTGGAGTAGCACTTTTAATTTCCTTCAAGAACTTTTCCTTTGCATTCGCACCTTGGCTAACTGATACAAGAGGCCCAGCTCTTGGCCTGTGTCAGCTTTTGATATGCCTTCCTCCCTAAGCTTAATTATTTCTAGCTTTTGATTAAAGTGAGAGAGATGCAATTGTTCCTTTCACTTGAACACTCAGGGACCACTGTAGGTTTATTAATTGGCTTGGTTTCATATTGTTCTGTCTCAGGCAATAGGAAGACCAAAGGAAGAGAGGGAGAGAGACTAGAGAATGGCTGGTTGGTGGAGCAATCAGAACACACACAACCCTGATCAATTAAGTTCACCATCTTATATGGGTGCAGTTGGAGGTGCCCCAAACGATTACAATAGTAACACCAATCATCATTGATCGCAAACATGACAGATATAATAATAATGAAAATGTTTCAAATGTCGAGAGAATCACCAAAATGTGACACAGAGACACGAACATATTCTGTTGGCAAAATGGAGCTGACAGACTTGATCGATACAGGGTTGTCACAAACCTTCCATTTGTAAAAACCTGCTTTCTGTGAAACATAATAAAGCAAAGCACAATAAAATGAGGTAAGCCTGTATATTCAATGTAGAATTTAGCAAAGTCACATGCTTGTTATTTTTCAGGCACTCTTTTATATGCCAAATCCAAAGAATTAACGTAAAACACAAAGTATCTATAAAGCAGGTGGTGGCCCTTCTACAAAAGAAATTTCCTGCCCAGAATGCCCAGCTATCAGCATGACAAAACAATTTTGATAAATCCACTCAAGAGAACCACAATTCTTATTTCTAGAATAAAGCTTTTGACTTCACAGTGACCCCGGGAAGCTTCGACACATTCCATTAAAGTAAAGAAAACACTCCTTGGGTAAGACCTTCCAAGTATTCCACCTCTATGATTCTTTGTGACCTGAGACTTTGAGAAAATATTCTTTCCACTGTTATTAAAGTGCAAAAGTCTAGTTCTTCAGAAGAGAATAATTCGTTACAAATACTAAATTTGTCATTTGAAAATAATTTCCTCCATCTAAATGTCCACTATAGAGTGTTAAATTTGGAAAATATATCTGAAAAATTCCTGCCAATATTGTGATCATTTTTGCCAC